GATGATGATGACACCCAAGGATATATACACTCATCAACAATAAATAATGAGTGCAATAAACAATAATAATAATAATATCATTATTTACAACAATAATGACATTAATAGAGAAAATTATAAAACAATTAACCATAATGATAATGAACAATTAATTACAATAGCAACTCAAAATATACAAGGATTATCAAATCCAGTTAAACAAAAACAATTATTAGAAACACTTAAATTAAAAAATATAAATATAGTTGGAATAACAGAAACTAAAATGAGCAAAAAAAGTGCATCACATGCATTGAAAAATAATGATTTTGAGGTGTGGTGGAGTTCAAATGATAAAAGTCCAACTAGTTCTGGTGTGGGGCTCATGATGAAAAAATCAATATCAATATACGTCCAAAAGGTCAAAGAATCAAATGGTAGAATAATTTATGCAGATTTATTTTTGCCAGGTCACCAAAAAATTAGAATTATAAACGTATACATAAATTCATCAATGTCTACAGAATTGGACAGGAAAGAAAGATTACAAACTGAAAATGAAACAATTTCAATAATAGAAGAAGGAAAAAAAAATAATTACAGTAATATAATAATTGGTGATTTTAATGCAGATCCCGATAAATTAGAACTAGATAGAATGAACAATAAAAAAATAGATAAAAAATATCATCTTATCAAATTTTTACAAAATAAAAATTATATTGACATTCATACAAACATAGAAGATGACAAATGTTATACATGGAAGAACAAGTAGGATAGATCTCATATGGATGTCAAATAATATGCTAGATGAAGTTTTCTTCTGTGAGACATGGAAATCACCACTATATTCTTCTGACCATAGAATGGTCATAACATACTTACACAAAAATAATATTATTTTCAACACAAAGGAAGCTAATATAAAAAGGAAACAAATGAGAAGACAAGTATTTTCTTTTGACAACATGAAAGAAGAAGACTGGTTAAAATATGCTGAAACAAGCGACAACTTATGGAATGACTCTCAAATGAATAAATTTAAATTTCCTGAAAATCCTGGTCATCATGATTTGAATAGAATGTGGGATGCAGTAAGAAATACTCTCATCAAAACAGCCGAAAAAACAATTCCAAAACGATGGGTATCAGAATCATTCAGAGACATTAAATCAAAAGAATTGATCAAAAATTATAGCTACCTCAGGAAGGTTAACAAAATTTTAATTAAATTCAACAATATAAAAATTTACAATGACAAAATACCTTCTCAGACTGAATGGAACAAAGACATAAAGATTTTAAATAATATCATCAATAATGGTAAATTTGAAGAACTTCAAATACAAGAAAGAATACACAATGGAAACATAAAACAAATAAAAAAAGATATCAAGCAAATACATAAATTTTTATACACTCTATGCCAAATAGAAGAAGACAAGTGGAAAGAAGCACAAATAAAGTTCTTCTCATTAAAAAGATGCAACAACTTTAACTTAGAAAAAGGAAATTTTATTTCATCATGTCTTGAGAGAAGCAAACGTAAGATAACTCTGGATAAAATAATTATAGAAACAAAAGATGGCCTAGAGCTGATAACTGATTCTAATACTATTAAAAACCAAGTCAATGAACATTTTCAAAAAATTGGTGGGGTTCCACCAAATCAAGAAATACAAATAAATGAAAAGTGGAAAAGGCAATATGAACCTTTAAATTTTATCAATGACAAATGGTATAAATATATAATGCAACCACCTACATTTGAAGAATGGTTCAAACTTGTCAAAAGCTTACCTAACAATAAGGCTGCTGGTCCATCAAAAATCACAAATGAAATGATTAAATATGCAGGACAAAATATTAATAAAGCAGTATGGAGATTAGTTTGTGCATGCCTTAAATGTGGTGACATTCCAAATGAATGGAGGGAAGCAGTAATATACCCAATACCCAAACCACAAGAATGGGAGGGTCAACTAAAAAATACACGACCAATAACTCTACTTGAAACAGTATGTAAAGGCTTAGTCAAGCTTGTTTACCAAAGGTTATCAATGATCTTAGCAAAAAAGAAAATACTTAAAGGTGGAAATTATGCAGGTTTACCAGGTGGTTCGTGTTATGATCCTATACATATTTTAGAAAACATTATTCATGATACTAAAAACAAAAATCAAGAAATATGGATACTCTGTCAAGACATTAGCAAGGCTTACGACTGTGTTAACATTAACATGTTAAACAAAGCCATGGAAAGGATTAAAATACCACCCTTGTGCAGGAAATTCATTATCAACTTATTTTCAAGAAGAACTAATACTGTGATCACACAATATGGTAATACTGATCCTTATCAAATCCTTGTAGGAATTGATCAAGGAGAAGTTATATCACCTCTCTTATGGGTAATTTACTATGATCCTTTGCTGTGTGAATTAAACAATAATGTAACAGAAGCATATTCTATTAATCACACATGGATAAACAACTTAGATGATAAAACAATAAACAAAATAGAACATAAAATTAATAATCTAACATACATGGATGATAGCAATCTAATATCAAAGTCAAAACTTGGAATAGAGAATTACATGAAAACTGCTGATGAATTTTATGAAATCAATAACATTAAGGTTAATAAGAATAAATACATGCTAATATCAAACCAATGCAAGTCAGGCAAAGAAATTATATTAAACAATAATACCAAAATTAATGCAACAGGGCCTAAAGAATCATTTCGTTTTTTAGGTGTCTGGTTCAATTTGGATCAAAACAAAAAATATGTCAAAAACCAAGTTAAACAAGAAATATATAAAACAGTTAATATTATGAAATATAAAAGATTAACAGACAAGCAGCTTGTATATATATTCAACAGTGTGGTGTTACCTAAAATTGAATATAAATTGCAAACAACTGTTCTAACACCAAACGAAGCAAATGATATAATGAAACCATACAGGAAATTATTTAAAAATAGATTAGGTATATCAAAAGATACCCCAAACCTAAACTTATCAAATAAAAAATTATATAATTTAATAGATTTACACCATCACCAAAGTCAGTGTCATATTAACAGTTTGTTTACGAAAATCAACAATCCAAATACACTGGGGAAAATAATAGAAATAAGATTGCATCAATTACAAACAGAGATGTGGATTCCTCATTCTCCCTTATCTATCAAATCATGGAATGATTGGCTATCTTCCAAAAAATTAAAAAATGATCTAATAGCAGCAGAATTAAATTTAATGCAACAAAATCATATAAACATCAAACATCATAATGAAGAATCCTTCTCAATCAAAGGAGGCAATACACCTTTATATACAATTCTTAAAGAATCATATTACAAACATACAGCACCATTAAAAAATAGATTGATAATGTTCCTTGACCAATTAAG